CGTGCGGAGCCTCGCGGAGATGCTGATGGAGGGCCCTGGGTCTGGGGTCCGTGTCCCCGGGCCGGGCGCGCGTGGGCCCCGTCTGGACGGTGTGGTTGGCGGGGCGCGGGGAGGAGGGTGGGCCGGGCTCGCCAGCCTGGGAGCCGTTTTCGGTCTGGGAAGGCTCGGGCTGGGCCCAGCTGTCCCCCAGGGCTGGCGTCCGGCCTGGCCAGGGTAGATGGGCGCTGACTCTGGGTTCAGTGTGTGGAATTTGGTGAGGATGCATCTGGGGTCGACAAGTGTCTGGGATGAGGCAGGAGAAACGGGGCTCGGGTCCCGTGGGGGTTTTATGGCCACTGTTGGGATCTGTGGCAGGACCTGGGAAATTGGGTCCCAGCTGAGAAGAAAAGAGGCCTCTTGGCTGAAGGGCAGCCGGGCTTCCCTGGACAGGATTCTGCCAGGCTAGTCTCTCATCCAGGCCAGCTTCAGGGACCAGGCAGACCTTGTCCCTGGCTGCGTCTATTAGGGCCGCAGCCGGAATGCAGCAGGGAGTTGTCAAAGGCCTTTTGTCCTGGCCCTGGGGCCGTTGGGGACTGTCCACCCTCCTCTGCTCTGGGAGGAACACTACTTTGGTCTCTGCTGGGGGAGAGGCCCGGCCTCCCCCCTCCCCACCTTGTTCGGATAAGCGTGAGAGTTTTGTTACCAAGTTACAAGGACAAAAAGCCCAAGCAGCCTTGGAGAACAGTGTGAACTCCGCAGGCACTGAGCCAGCTGATGCTAAACCCGCTCACAGACCGCCTTCTGCTCTCAGGCAGAGACAGAGGAGCCCCGGGCTGCAAAGGGTTTAGAGCAGGGCTCTGTAGGGCCACTAGAGCCTCATGATCGTGGATGGCCACGGGACCACCAAGAGTCTCGGGCGGCCCTGGCTCAGGGATGACCCTGCCCCCCCCATCTCCAAGGCGGGGCAGCCCCTCCGCCTGGGCCTCCTAGACTCCAGGGAGGCCCTGTGAGCTGAGAGCTGCCTCATTAACCCTCTCCCGCCATTCCTCTCCATGGGCCTCAGGGAGGGCAGACATCTCTACCGAGTGCTTAGTGTCCTCCAGGCAGGAAGGTGAGGCCTGGGTTTGGATATTGAATTCTGTCAGCCATGTGTGTGCCCCTCTGGTGGGGACCCCTGGCTCGGCGTGGGCCCCACCCCCACCCCAGATCTTTGCTCTCCCCACACCTTGACCGTGTGCCTGCAGAACCCGTGGAGACTGCGCCCGTCCGTGCCTAAGTGTGGAATTACCGGCTCTGATCCTTGGGGCCCCAGGTGCGCAGGAGCCTGGCATGCAGCCTCAGTCCTTCCTGCCCTCACTGCCCAGGGCCAGGGCTTGGCAAGGCAGGGAGATGCCAAAACTTCCTAAGTGAGAACCGTCTGCATGCGCGCTTCCTAGGGGCACTGGGGAGACGTCCTGGAGAGTGACGCTGATGCGTGGCTCCTTCCAGGCCGTGGACTCTGCCCTGGGTCACCGCCCTCCCTGGCCGGTGTGTGCTGCCTGGCACACAGGTCCCCGGTTCTGGATGGAGTGTGGGGGATGGAAGGCCCCTCTGCCTGGGTGGGCCCAGAGTGAGGGCTGCCATCGCTGGGGACCAGGACGCCCCAGGACTGCGGAGGAGGCCAGTGAACAAGGCCCCCTCGCCCGAAGGAGGGGCTTGGACAGAGCCCCCAGGTGCTGGGCGTTGTATGAAGGGCAGCGCCGCGGCTCCCAGAGGGGGTAGGCTCCAGTCCTTCCACAACAGTCCTGGCACTGCCAGACACCCTCAGCCCCACCCCGTGAGCTCACTGAGCCCTGGTGAGCTGGCCTTACAGGCCTGGGGCACCGTGGAGCAGAGCCGGAGGAGGGGCCGGTTCTGGACTTCAGCAGATCACAGAAAATCTTTCCCTTAAAAAAAAGTTAGGAAAACACCCATGTGACAAGTCTGGGAACAGCAGGGTCAACAGCCCTCAGGCCCCGGTGCTGCCTGGTGGCCTGACCCGCCCTGCATGGGTGCAGGCCCCCCCTCCCCGCACACTCCTGCGGGTGTTTATGCAGACACAGGGCCCATGTGCAGCCCAGGCAGGTGCCCCGCACTCTTCTGAAGCCACAGGAAAAGCGGCCCCAGGCTGGGTCCTCCTCAGGCCGTCCTGCCCGGGCTGTCCCAGGGACTGTTTCTATGGCCAGCATGGAGGCCCCGGCAGGTGAGCTCCCCCGGCACTTGTGGCTGTGAGCCCCAGATCTGGCTGGACAGGGGTGGTGTGAACGTGCCTGTCCAGCACCTGTCCACGTCTGCCTGGCCGGCAGGGACAGGCCCTCCGTGGTCTGCCTGTCGGGGTGGGGCCAGGTCAGGACTGTGGTCCACCCTGTCAGGGTCACAGCAGAGGCGGGACAAAGAGCAGGCTTCTTCAGCAACACAAGGAAGAGATGCTGTGGGGTCCAGCGAGGACAGACCTGCGGGCTCCCGGGCCCCACCCTCGGCTGTTCTCCATGAGCTTTTACTGGGGAATCGCATGGTGTGAATGCCACAGCGGCCGCGTCACCTGGGACTCGCCCGCGCCAGGGCCTCATTCCCCGTCATGCACTGCCGCCACAGTGACGTTTTTCTGAATCATTTGAAAAGTTGGCCTTCTTTCCCATGAACACCCGGGAAGTGTCCAGTGTGGGTCTGTCCTGCAGCCTGGGAAATGCTCCTGTCTGTGTAGATCTGTCCCACAGCCTGGGAAGCTCTCCTGTGTAGATCTGTCCCGCAGCCTGGGAAGCGCTCCTGTGTAGATTCGTCCCGCAGCTGGGAAGTGCTCCTGTCTGTGTAGATCTGTCCCGCAGCCTGGGAAGCTCTCCTGTGTAGATCTGTCCCGCAGCCTGGGAAGCGCTCCTGTGTAG